ATCCCAGATTATTTCGAATTTCTCTTCCAGCCTTCCGACCACGCACTTTGTTGTCAATATTCATGAGCGTAGTTGCATAAGCTTCAAGAGTCTTTGGTAGATCAGTGCGGTATATTAGTGCATATTTTAATTCATCTGATAGACCTTCAGTCAGCGTGTCAATTTTTGCACATTCGCTATAAGTAAGCCATTAGACGAAGGAGCTGAGAGTAGTATGACGCAAAATATCCTTTCCCTTGTTTTTATTTAATGAGCTGCTGATGTTATTTGCCACGAGGGTCTGGATCGCCAAACGGTGATTCTAAATACGAGAAGGCGCTAACAAAGGAGAATGGTGCGTTGGATTCGCAGTGATTAGTGGTACTATTTGATCCAAGGCTTTTCCTTCCAATAGGCTTATAGAATAAATTACTTTTGCTAATCCGTTTTGAAGCCATTCGATATTAATTTCTAATTTTATTTTCAAATGAGTTAAGAAGTCTGGAAATTCTGAACGAATACCGTGATATTTTTCAGGATCCGAAAATTTTAAGTACCCTTTTTCGCATCTATTGTTGATGGAGCTGCAGCAGAGGTGTTCTCCGCTCTTGAGATGTTTAAATCTACTTTTAATTCGGTGGTTTGTCCTTCAAGGATATCATTTGATTGATTTGCTTGAACAAGTTGGCTAAGGGCTGTGTCTCTTTCAACACGATGGCGGCGAACGATGGCGGTTAATTTTTTATATAGTTGAGAAGGGTTCATTTCAAATTGCACCTTGAATTCTTCGAGCGTATTCATAGGGTTCCACACCGGCGGAGGAATGGATATTATTTTCGTACGGTGTAGATAATTGACGCAACTTAATCTCAAGGAGTCTGATGTAGCGATAGTTCTGCAGAGTGCCAAATGAGATAGTCAATAGATTAAATATCAAACGACAATATCTGAGGTGGAATCTTCGCTGAGAAAAGTAGAAGAGACAAAGGAAGTATTGCATTGCAGTCGTCTTCCCAATGAAGTGATAAAGTTTAGAAGTAAAAGCGTATTTATTGTCAGAAGACGTTGCGTGAGGTCTGAACTTCATAATGCTAAGCTTTTTTATACACATAATTCAATGTGAAAGCCAATCATATTTTCCATAATATCATGATTTTTATGATGCCATACTTTCAATGTTATCATTCTCTCCCCAACTCAAGGATATTGTACGCGATTGATCAAATGACGTGATAAACACACAAGCAATATTATTCGGATCTAGATGACGTCATGACGAAGAGAATTACAGAATGTTACTTGACTAAAATATAAAGTCCGAAGACAGTGCACCTTCACCCCTATTTTCAATGACTCATCATGATAGGTCAATCTGTGAAAGATGCTTCAGCAAAGGTGTTGCTCAACACTAGGTCCAGCACGTTTCCATTTCGATGCGTAGGTACACTGGCTGGGATTATTAAATGCATTTTCTACACCAATGCTCAGTCAATGATCTGGTCGCCGTTGCCATATTGACAAATTGCCTGAGGTTGCCAATGTTTCGACGCCGCGTTGAAATCTCCCCCGACTACTGTAGGGCATTGGGGCACCCATTGGAGTATGGGTTCTAAGGTCCCACTTGGCCCGGGTGCACGATATACGTTCACAAAAGTGATGCCTGATACTTGTAAAAAGCTATAGTCCAAATTTTGTCAAGTGAGGCCCGTGAATATTTGCAAGGCTGTAAGATCTTTACGGGTAAAAGTGATTGCTTGTGGTCGATCTATTTTTTCACCGATGGGTTTATGGCTGTTAAATCCCGAGTGATTTTTCGTTATATATTCCTTCTATTTCTGCAATGTCCATGATTCTTGTGCCATGATAACGTGCGCTCCTGCGTGCCACGCCTATTACAACGCTACATCCAGATTTTCTTCGCTCCTTCCAAAGTTCACTTGATGAAATAGAAGAACATTTTATTGCTCGTTTTTATTATGAGTTATAGGTTTATTATTCATAGATTTTTCATTGTTGTTTCCGCAGTACTGCTAACCTCTACGGTCCTACCCTTATTTTCTGAGGTGGCTAGCGCTACTTAGAATTCTCTATGACCAAGCTCTCGAATAACTAATAGCTCTGCTGGCGTACGAGGGACGGCTGCGCCATTCTAACTTCTAGGACAAGCCATACAGGTGAGGTCTGTTGACTCATGTGGTCCTGCACAATTAGAGCATTTAAGTACTTTAACAGTACACTGTTTTTTTTCGTGTATTCAAGTACAGCGACCACATAGCTATCCCTTGGTGCTTACTCTTGCTGCATGGAGGCTCTGGCAGCGTTGGCGATCCTCTATATGACGTTTTCGCAGAAAGGGCATTGCTGGTTCGCTTTCATCAAAGAGTCTAAACTTGATGGATTCCAGTTTTTGTTTAAAGTGGACATCCCAGTTTTGCTTTACCTTGGCGCACCTGCGCGGGCTTTACATTTTACACAGACTGACACTCGTTTTCCACCATTTCTTTTGTCACAGGTATACTACCCTCTGGTGTCATTATGTATAGTGGCACATGTGGGACTATACCGAGGTCCAGTCTAAAGCCGCATCGACAATGATGTTTTGTTGTTGGAAGGACTGCCCAATCCTCAAAATTATTTCTCTGAGTGTATCTGAAACACATTCAATCACCAAGCTTGATCTTGTCTTAGTCGAATAAAGAGGCGTTTATCTTCCTTCTGTGGTTCCTGGTTTGTGACCTTGGACTGAGCCACGGGTTTATGCGCTGTTACTACAGTGGGATTAGAAAGCTTTGACACTTTGCGAACTACTGTTGCCTATGGGGTCTTATTCATTTGTGGCTTCTCTGTGAGTGCATAATTAGGTGCCACCGGTTGTTTGATCACCCTGGGAGCTTCTGTTTTTATCGCGCTCTTTGATGGATTATGAGTCTTACGGGGGGGTTTGTTTTCCTGTACAGTTCTAATACCAAATGAAATTACTTGTGTAGATATACTTTCAATAAGAGACAACACTGTGGCAGCCACCGTTGTTCCTGTCTGGGTTTTGGCCCAGGCGTCTGTGATTTCTACGAATTTCTGGGCAAGATCCAGTCTTTCTTTCCTTTGTTTTCTGATTTTTGTATTTCTTCGGCAATGCCCATCAGGGTTGGGTGTTGTATCTTGCTGGGGTTGGCAGGTATGGTTAAGAATGATGCGCTGTCAGAAGCCATTGCACCACTTAAGATTTGAAGAAGGATTAGACTCTAATCTGAGATGGTAATTATGAAAGTGTGATGGGATAGTGTGATTGTCGTTGGAGAATATGATGTGTGTGCTAGGGATGGTTGATGATGATTCTGGGTCCGAGATGGATGAAAGGCCATCGATTTTAGATATGCTTGAGACTGCTTTCGACTTCGATTAGGATGCGAATCTTCTTGGCTGTCCCAGATATGAAAAGAATACTAAGCGATTACACCGTCACTGCTGTAAGATGAAGAAGTCGTATTAACTGGCCTTCGCGATATATATATTTGTTAGTGATTCATTGTGAAACTTGAGTCATAGAGATCTAGTACATTGGGCTCCTCTTTGGCAAAGGCCACACTTTGTATGGTGCTCCTATCTATTTTTATTACTTGAAGATTTTTAACATATTTCTCGCGATGGATAGCCACTCAGCTCAGTATTTACTCATGATTGTAAGCCACCACATCCACGGAACATTCTATCCAAAAAAAATTCTAGCAATAGAAACAGCGTGCACAAGAGAATACCTCAAAGAACCTGCAGCCCCAGCCAGGCGAGGCCTAGACACCGGAATCACATGAGGTGCGCATATCCATTTATATATCCCTAGTTTGCAACATTAGAGGTCAGTTTGATCCGCTCCATCATCGCCGAATCAGGTTCTGGGTACGCTCCGAAAAATCATTGGATGGATTCTCCTCCATGACCAGGAAGAGTGAATGGGCTATGAGCAGTGCTTCGACCCTGCCATTTGATCTGATTATTGTTGAATTCAACATATTGGTGAGAGGGAGATGCGTTGGGAGATAAAGATGACACTGATCGCGAAAGCAATTAGGAATTCTTATGGAAGTGAGGACGAGATTGTTACTTGAACTCGGCTCTGCAGAATCTACAATGAGAGCTGGAGGTTCGTAGGAGAAAAAGCTGACAGGTGTATAGTTGACGCCCTCAATTCTGTGTGATTTCCGAGGACAGAATTTGACGACGGGAAGCTGCAGAAGTATTGTCTCAGCCAGCGAGCATCAGAGCTCCGCTTTCACGGTTAACTAAACTTGAAGTCCCTGGCGACTACGGTAGTCTAGAGATGGATAGATTATGTGAATACCTAGTGGAAGAAGTAAGACTCGAGGATATGTTAATAGCCGTGATTCTTCGGTGTTTAGTTTATTTTCACTTTATCGGTCATTCAGTCACATCAATCCATCAATCTATCAGTCTTTAAGTTTACGTATTCAATGACTTATAAGATTCTTTGCAAGAGCGTTTAGACTTACCCTTTAGCAAAGCTCAGGGCCGGTTAAGCAGCACCCTCAACATGAAGGGGCAGCAGGGATTAATAATGAGTGTAAGTCAACAACAGTAACAGCGGCATTCAAATGCAAAATTCCTCAAAGATTATGGTCCTAAATTACTTCAAGGCTTCAGCTTCATGATAAACCATAGGCTTACGTTGCTGACTTTGGTTGACTCATCCGATTTATCTAGCGGTTCGCTCACACAAGACCTTGTTGCCTTTCCTGTAGAGACATAACGCATCCGAATATCTTAAAATATGACGGGATACCTGACTAGGGTCTTGAAATTTTCGGAGTGATCAGCTTATTATTCAAGTCCGTGACCAACTAAGCAGATGAACCTGTATTAACCCCATTCAGATGCTGACATCTACCCCAAGATCCTAGACATGACAACATTGAACCACTTCGAAAACATATTTAAACCATAAAATAGTCTACGCTTTGCAATTATTTCATCCGATATATCAGTACAAACTTCCAATTATCTCAAAAATGTCACAAGTAGATGTCGAAAATATCACAGTAGAAGCGTTGCCTAAGCTTCTTGAGGCCGATTCAAAAGTTAAAGTTGCTGGAATCGACGCAGATGGTATTCTGCGAGGCAAGGTCATTTCCAAAGATAAATTCCTGGGCGTGGCTGCTGATGGCTTCGGCTTCTGCTCAGTCCTCTTTGGCTGGGATATGCATGACCGCCCATACTCTAAGGAGTTGAAAATATGCGTCGCAAGAAAGGGTTGTAGCGACATACTTGCGCGTCCCGATCTTAGTACATTCAGAAGGATTCCATGGGAAGACAACATCCCGTTCTTTCTAGTTACCTTCCTCGACCCAGTCACTGTCAGGCCAATCAGTGCTTGCCCTCGTGGTCTATTGAAATGCACTACTGATAAGCTCAAAAGTCACGGAATCCGGGCCATGGCGGGAGGTACGTTAAACTAATTATGTAGCTCACATGTAGTTGACTCGTACATCCTTAGTGGAAATCGAATTCTCTCAATTTAAGCTACCATCTGAAATTCCAGGCGCTCAGTCAAAAAATGTATCCATAGCTTCATTCTTGAGAGATCATAATATCAACGCCTTAGAACCATTGACTGATGGCATGTTTGGTTACAGTCTAACTCGAACGGCACAAAATAAAGAATATTTCTACAATATTTTTGATACTTGTGAGAAATTCAGATGTGGGATTGAAAGCTGGCATACCGAAAGCGGTCCTGGAGTTTTTGAAGCTGCCTTGAAATTCTCGGAAATTCAGCAAATGGCCGATAAGGCTACCTTGTTCAAGTCAGTAATCAAGCGTCACCAATTTCTTTCGTTTTCCCCTAATTCAACTTAGATATCTGGTGAAGTCCATAGCTATACCGTATGGCATAACACCCTGTTTCATGGCTAAACCAAAGCAAGGGATATCAGGAAATAGTGGTCATATACACATCTCTTTGATCGATAGCAACGGGAATAATCTATTTGCGCGTGAGGCAAGAGATGAGGGAGCCAAATACCAAGATATTTCTTACCTCTCTGATATAGGACGGCAGTTTCTCGCTGGTATTTTGGATGGTTTAACAGACATCATGCCCATGCTGGCCCCCAATATCAACTCATACAAGCGTCTAGTCGAAAACTTCTGGGCACCTGTCACAGTATCGTGGGGTCTAGAACACAGGGCAGCGTCAGTTCGGATAATTGCTCCGCCAACCTCTAAATCTGGAGCTACGCGAATCGAAGTGCGAGTCCCTGGTGCTGATATCAACCCATCTTACGCTCTAGCTGCTATTTTAGCCCTTGGTTGGAGAGGAGTAGAGAAAAAGCTAGAAATCAGTCTTCCCCCATTACAGACTGGTCTTAATGTTGGAGAAACATCCGATTCCAGGACACGACTTTCCAAAAGCTTAAGAGAAGCAACCGAAAATTTTATGAGATCCGAGAGCATTGCTAGGGAAGTTTTTGGAAATGATTTTGTCGAGCATTATGGGGGTACGCGAGAGAATGAGTATCGATTGTGGGATGAAGCTGTAACTGATTGGTAAGGCTTCTGATGTGATCTAAAAATAGTAAATTCTAACTTTCTACAGGGAAACACAACGCTACATTGAGACTGTGTGATGGTACATAGAAACATGCTTCTTAACTTGTGGTGAAATTAGACGAATTTCACTTCAAAAGTCCATAATATCGTGCTCCACATTATCTGGCTATATGGAGAGCATAAAAATAGGACTTCTTTATTCCGCGAGTTTTAGAAAAACTAGCGCGTGAATCTCACAATGAATGCGGATTATAAAAGAGAGATTGCATGAGCATGGATACTATCATATCCCTTTCACTATAACAATGAAATAAAATTAGTAAATCACTAAGAACTGAAAACATAGCGTCCTAATTATTAATGTAGATTTTGAACTTTGTTTTACAAAATAATGCTGCCTATTAAGGAAGTAATGACCCCTCAGTCATTGAGGTTGTAGAGCGCATTGATTCAAGTATGTTTGTTTGTTTGCATTTAACGCCAAGTAGGCTCACGGGTATGACCCGGCCTCTATGCCCAAGAATGGGCGTTTGGCGTGTCCGCATAGCCCATTGCTATCGGACAATTCTATCGTCTAAAAACTACAGTATCCTCTCTTTTTCCGCAATTAACGCTCAATATTAATGCAAGGTAGAGCCCGAGCCCAATTGAATTAAGTAGCTACCAAAGTGGGACTACTATGGTGCCACGATTTTAAGTTTTCCGTGGATTTAAATGGGGCGCATATTTGTTTCAGGTGTTATACCCCTGTTAGCGCCCATTTCGACAGGGTACATAATACTTGACCTGTATTTCAAGGCCTAAACTATGGGCACAATTTGAATTTATGTCACCTTCAGTTTTATGCAGATTCAGCCTGTTCAGTAGTTCTTTGCCATCGCTTTAATGACAGCCGACCGCTACGTAATTGCACAGCCCTTCTCATCTTGTGCTTGAGTAACAATAATAATTAGATTTCTCATATACAAAGTTATTTACTCAGAAGACACATGGCTTTACTCGATACTAACCTTATTTTGCAGATGAATCTACTTCAAACCCCACCTTCAACACCTTGAATCAAACAATTATTCAGAGATCAAAACGTTATAGGAATTAGAAAAATAAAGAATGAACGAATTGAAATTAAAAGAAATTTTAAGATTTATGAGCTCCATGAATCTGGCAAAAACCAGATGCAGATTGCCGCGCAGCTAGGCATTTCTCGGGGACAAGTTAGTTATTCGATGCGCCGCGGAACTATCTCCTCCAAAAAGAGACAAAGAACATCCTCAAGACTGAAAGCAGTTGATGTAGATCAGATTATATCTTACGTTGAGTCTTCACCTGCAAACCGTCACAAAACATTTCTAGAACTCGCCTCTGGCCCCTTTAGACATCTTGGTGTTAGCGAGCGAGTAATACAAAGAGAACCTAAAAATGAAGAGGATATCAGTGACATGCGGCTCGTCTAAAGCCTCCAGTATCTCAGAAAACTATGAGGACACGCAGAGAATGGACCAAAGCTCATCTCAATTGGACATATGAAGACTGGACATCAGTTTTGTGGGCAGACGAAACTTGGGCAGAGGATAGAAGACATTCCAGAGAATGGGTGACAAGAAATGTTCCTACATTCTTCTATAAGAAGATAGTAATTTGATGCTCTGACATTATGAGCTAGACTTCCCAAGAACACAATGCTGATTACGTTGGAGAAAAATCGAAGAGAGTCGTCTGGATGTTCTGGGGTTGCTTCGCAGGGTCGAAAAAAGGCCCCTGTTTATTTTGGGAGAAGGAGTGGGGATCCATTAACTCCCAAAAATATTGCGAGAAAATAGTTCCTCTTATTGATGGCATGATTTCAATGAGACCTTGGCTTATCGTAATGCAGGATAATGCTCGTGCTCACACAGCAGCAAATACAATGGAAGATATGAGCCAGATGTTCATTCAACCAATTTTCTGGCCGGCCAACTCGCCTGATCTTAACCTGATTGAAGCTGTTTGGAAGAGGATGAAGAATTACATCCAGCGTCATCATCCGAATTCTTGTTGCGGAAAGCAGCGAACTCAAGATAGATTCGCAAGATTGTAAAGGAGGCATGGGATTCCGTGTCTTCCGAAGATCTTGTGAGACTCATTCAGAGTATGCCAGCAAGATGTCAGGCTGTAATAGATAAGGATGGAGGACCAACCAGATATTTAGGCTTGAAAATATTCCAGCCACATGTTCAGATCCAAGGTTAAGATAAGACTGGCTCTATTTTGTGATTCTAAAACCTTTGAACTTTTGTAAATAAGTTATAAAGTCAAGTAGCAAAAATGAACAAATGTTATGCAGCTGATCATTATACCGATTAGGGTTAGTACGAAGGTAAGACCCACTGCCAACTATGGTGTCTAGAAAATAATTGCCATACTGTGAGCGGGTACATATTTAAGTATAGTAAGCTCTAGTTATACAGTCATCTAATATATAAGGACTGGTAGTTATGCAGGCATCTAGGGTGATCCGTGCATGGATACACACAAGAAGGGCGGTTTTTCTGGTTGAAACTAGACAGAGAATCTTAGTGATTTAGTTGTAATACGAGATTGAGCCAATAACGTTTACACATACAAATATTTTCAACAATTTGGACTAATACGGGGGCCAACCCTAATATGGAAGATGGCTTTGCCTAAGGAGTCTTAACTTGCATTCTAAAACCCCTGCTAAAGTCCCACTATAAACTTGATACCGTGGTAGCATAGCACAGTTAGACCCCTGTTAAGACGATCATGGTTAACCCGATATTGCCACTTATAGGATAATTTTTCCGTATCAAACTTCGTTCTCATACTTTTACCGACTACTCAATTATCATCCTTCACCCTCTGAACATCGTCTGAACCAGGATTTTTTTGTTAGATTGGTACTGATAATGCAGTCACAACTGGAATTTCGGTAGTGCGGCGACGTGCTCTGCGACAATGGGTGCACCGCCAGGTCCTAAAGCCAACAAAAAACAGTGCATTGAGTGGTTCTTCTCTGAGAACGGCCATCGATTAAGCCAGACCACAGTCTCCGAGTCCTTGAGCAATACCTTTTCGAAACTCAAGGAAGCTACAAGTAATACTGCGCTACGACAGCGAGCTGGAAACTGGCCTGACCTTGAGAATATTCTTCTGGGGTGACAAATACGAGTTGAAAAAGGAGGAGGGATCGCAACTGGCGATTTGCTTCGTGAGAAGCCAAAGCAGATTTAGACACAACTACCAAAGCATGCTATCTAATTGTGCCTTGAGTTCAGCGCTCGCTGGCTTGAGGAGCTCAAGAAACGAAATCATATTCAGAATCGGGTACGACAGGTTGAGGCTGGTTCAATTCTAGCGGCTGCCGAAGCTGAAATAAAAGTCTTACAGACAATTGCAGGAGAGTTTGAGGAAGAAAACATATAACACGGACGAGCCAGGTCTCTTTTGGAAAATGCTACCTTCATGTGGACTATTGTCACAATCTCGACCCGGACTCAAGAAAAACAAGGACCGAGTTTCTCTCTGTTTTTGTACGAATGCTACAGGTTCTGACCGACTTCCCATTTGGATTATTGGCAAAAATAAGACGCCTCGGCCTTGAAAAACGTTAATATTCAGACAATAGGTGGCAAATAGAGGTCGGATTTCAACGTATGGATGAACACAATAATCATGGGCAAATGGATTCTAGAATTCTATCGCCACGTTGGAAATGCCCGAGATGTACTATCGACAAGGAATAATTTTTCTGCTCATTATTCTGCCGTCGAATTATACCCTCCTCCGTCAAACATCAAGATCTTTTGGCTTCCAGCTAATAGTACAAGCCAGTACCAATCTTTTGATCAAGGTATTATCCAGAACTGCAAAGTATTTTGCAGACGATACTGGCTCGGCTTTGTTCTACAAGCAATTGAAGAAGGTACAGATCCACAATTGACTGTCAATATTCGACTAGTAAATCGCTGGATCTTACGAAGTTGGAATAACGAAGTTACAAATACATTGATTCATAATTGCCTTTGGGAATCGATCCCTATTTCAAGGCCAATTGCTCTTCCTACGCCTGTACTTCTGGCTGGACTTTCTGAATTATTTAATGAGGTAGTCAGAGCAGGAGACATACGAGATTCAATGGCAATAGACAATTTTCTTAATCCAATTGAGGAGGAAGAGGAAGGGATTGAGATGCTTGACCAGGAAATGATTTTACAAGAGGTGATATGGGAACATTTGGTAGCAAATCAAGACGAAGAAGAGGTAGTACAAGACGAACAGCTTTTGTGGATAGCAAATGAGGCCGAAATGGTTCTGAAAGTGTTGATTGAATATATTGAGAGTCAAGGTTCTCTTAGTTCGAGCTATTTGAGAGTATTTGAGCGATAAGAGACGTCAATTGGAAGTACGAAATAGGCATTAAAGGTACAAAGTAGCCTAGATAGCTGGATTAGATAATCATATCTTTTTAAGCGATTTCCACTATATGATGATACTTTACACGGCCCAAATTACATCGTCTTAACAGGGGTCTCATTGTATATAAAGTTGGCTGTTCAGCCCCACAATCCTGTTAAATGCCATGCCTCAACTCAAACAGTCCCCCAATCGTATTGATATATTTCTCAGATGTGATGCAATTGACGCTGACCTTCTGTCTAGAAAGCTGAGATTGGGCTAGTCTTGGGTTTGACCTAATGTTTCATTTTTACGCACGGCTTACGACATCAGGTATATTATGCAGTTCACGCTCTTTGTCCATCTTCAACGTTCTGACAGAGCTTAATTAATATATAATTATCTCGACCATGATTTAGCCTCAGTTACTATACACTTCATACAATTTGACTCGCAAATTGTGTTCTGAAGGTTACTGAATCGTCAGGCTTAATTTTATGTTTCCATGATCAACCCCTCGAACAAGGCTTGATTCTGATCAGTCTTTCAGTAGTTAATGACTGCGTAAGACCTTTTTTTAATTAGGGTTATCTCATACCGATTAGACATGGCCCTTACTTCGACTGTCACTGCAGGGACAATTCTCGGTGCCATGTATTTGGATGCCAAATTGGGTCTCAGCGAAGATTATAAATCATGGACCCACATGAGAAAAGCAGTCCGCTCTTGCCAAGAAGCTGGTGAGCTCGTGGGCCCCTTTGCATATGGTGTGCCGCTACTTATTTACCTCCATAGCCAAGACAGACCGAGTGTCTCTATACTATCGATTTGAAGAGAGTGTAAAACGCCAGCTACATAGAGAATGCATTTGGTCCCGTGAAGGGTCTTTCAGCTGGTCACAAGCATATTATAAGGTAAACCAATATGGGAATTGGTTTCTATCCCAAGGTGTGCGGCAAAATGATTATGTCGCCTTCTACTTAACCAACACACCCGACCAAATGTTTGCATGTTTCGGGCTTTGGTCGATCGGTGCTACTCCTGCTATGATCAACTACAACCTAGCTGGAGATGCCCTTTTACATTGTCTCAAGGTTAGCACAGCAAAGATGATGCTCGTTGATGATGACAAAGTAGTCCAATCCCGGGTTGAAAACCAAAAAAATAAGATAAAGAATGAACTAGGTATAGATATCATGTTATTAGATACCATTAAACCCTCAATAAGCTTGTCTGATTCGCGACGTCCCGACGATTCATGCCGGTCAGGCCTTAAGCTAGAATCACCGGCAGTCTTACTTTACACAAGGTAGGCGCAATTTTACATTCTACAGTCCGCGAGTTGATCTAGAACAGTGGGACCACTGGATTACCAAAAGCTGTCCCATTTATTTGGGAGCGAGCTCTTCGAGCATCCGTGACAGTGAGTTTTTGAAATTCTTTACTTTTGACCTCATAGGAAATTACCCTTACAAAATTCAGTGGGGAGACTTTGGTCAGTTAACAATAGATACAGAGTTTAATCTGGCTTTCTGACCCTGAAGATCGGTAAGCGTCAAGTTCAATCTCACCATTTATCTAAAACTGGTAGATTTTACAACTGTATGCCATTGTATCATGGAACAGGTGGACTGATTGCATGGACGTCATTATCCAATGGAACCGCCTTAGCCATTGGAAAGAAATTTAGTACGTCCAGTTTTTGGCAGGATGTTCAAGATTCTAGAGCTACTTGGATTTCATATGTGGGAGAGACTGCCAGATACCTTCTAATGGCCCCATCTAGTCATCTCGATACCAACCACAGAGTTAAGGGTATGTATGGCAATGGCTTGCGCCCTGATGTTTGGATTAGGTTCAGAGATCGCTTTAAGGTAGAGGTTATTGTTGAATTTTTTGGATCTTCGGAGGGAGTATTGGGTCTAGCAAACGTATGCAAAGGTGACTACCTGGCAACGGCTGTAGGCCATCAGGGTGCAATTTCCCGCCTCATCAACCACAACTTTATCATCCCGGTTGCGGTGGACATCGTGAGTGGTGAAATTTTGAGGGATTCCAAGACAAACCTTGCTTTACGTCAACCGTACGAAAAAGGCGGCGAGATCATTGTGAGAGTATCCAATACAAAAGCTTTCTCCGGATATATAGGCAATGAAGCTGCAACCAAGAATAAGTTTGCTGAAGATATTTTGGTTAAAGGTGACCTATGGTACAGAACCGGCGACTTTCTCAGACGAACACGAGATGGAAGATGGTTTTTTATGGACCGGCTGGGGGACACATATCGTTGGAAAGCTGAGAATGTAAGTACTGCAGAGGTTTCCGCAGTACTCGGACGCTATCCTGGTATCGTGGAGGCTAACGTTTATGGTGTTACGCTACCATTCCATGATGGCAAGGCCGGCTGCGCTGCTATTTACATCGATTCAAGTCTTGAGTCTGCCTTTGATTACGCTAAATTTCTGCTGTAAGTCGAAAAGACCCGCCCACAATTCCTATACGACTAACGCTATTTCTTTTAGGTATCTCCGCACACAATTACCGTCTTATGCCGTACCTACATTTCTGCGACGATTGAACCAGATAACACCTACTCACAATAACAAGCAGAGCAAAACCATTCTAGTGAGGGAAGGCGTGGATCCTGAGAATCTTACAAATAATGATACATTGCTATGGGTTACAGGCCTAGGAAAAGGTAACACATATGAAAATTTTAACAGTTGTCATTGGAAGGAAATAGTAAATGGAATGGCTCGATTGTGAAGATATTCAACATTTTAGTGTTTGTCCAGAAATACTAGATTAGGATTAAGGCGTAAAATGTAAAGCAACAACTGTATTTGTTCATGAGAGCGAACAAATAAAATTCACTAAATTGTCCGCAGAAGCAGCAGCAGCCCCTTTTGAGCGCCAGAATCAAAATAAATACGTTTGATCCTGGTAGTGTGCACCTTTTTCTTGAAGCCTTATGATTGGAAACAGGTAGATGATTGAAGCCGTGAGCGTAGGACATTCATGAACATGAATGTGGCGTGTTCTATACATTAATATACAGATATTTTATAAGCAAACTCTTATTTGATGAAAGTATTCCATAGATTCATCATGCAGGCAAAAAATCAAATCCTCTTTGGCTGAGATTAGATTACAGATAAGTCGCCAAATTTTTCCTGTATTTAAGGTTAGTCGCCATTAAAAAATCCTATCTAACTGCTGGGACGAACCTTGTAGCCAGGTACCGACCAGCGCCCTTTTGCGATTATACGGCTGGCTTTTTCTTCAATGTCAGGACGTGCCGCGGTTACCTCGTCCTAGTTACACGTGAGCGCGTGATAAAACGAGACAGGGTAAATATATAGATACGTACAACTGTGAGATCCTCAAATGGCCTGGCTTCCTCAATATTTTTGAGGGTCTTCTCTAAGTCGCGGAGCTCGAGATCAACGCGGCCCTTGGTAGCCGTAGCGTCCTTTAGGGCCTGAGCTTCAAAGGCTTCAATGGATTTTAACTGGCGCGACAGGTCGTAGGTAGAGGGTCTAAAGGTAGCACAATGACGTTCTATCTGATCGACTATTGCCTGGTTCTTGAGGAGGCCTCGGTAATGAGCAAAGTCAACAGTCTGCGGCTGGGCTTTAAGTTGCTGCACACGGCGCCGTGCGTCTTCATTGCGTTTTTTAAAAGCCTGTAGAGCTGTGGCTGTCTGTCCTCGAAGACCGAGAGAGCTGGTCACTTGGGCCCAGTCGAGCTTAAGTGCTGCACTTCGCTATAATTCCAGTTAGCAATCTATTGCAGGGTGAACTAGCTATCCTTCGCCGCGCATATTTCATGTCGCAAAATTTATGGCCGTAAACATCAGTTTTGTTGAAAGGAAAGAAAAATACGAATTCTTGGAACTCACTACTGCTGACATTGCGGTATTCAAAATAGATTGGATAATTGAGGCAGAGTTGATTCAAAATGTGATCGTTGTCCACGCATGAGATTGGATCCGTACGCCTTGTTTCGCATCCATAGTCACGTGATAATGCGTAGGATCAATTCCACATAGATCAAACAACACATACTTGAACATTATACATGAAACTAAAAATTTTTACAGAAAGATGATTGATATAGACTTTACAGAAAACACTGCTTAAGGGTTATCGATAATAATATTCTGCAACAGCATGAGCTGGACATTCCGGAATTAAAATTCCACACGCGAAGGAGCTTGAAGGCAGATTATCATGCTTCAGTAGCTATGTGGAATACGCGAGGCGTACCTCTCCCAAAGTCTATATCTTAAATGCGGATTACTTACGATAGATGGACCTAAATTTACCCTTATTTTGTCCTCATTACAATGATAGTGCCATAATTGAGTTAACTATATCATTATCGTTCTCTTTAAGCGCCTTGACAGCCTTTTTTCTGGAAACATTGGCTTGGGTCATCACCAGCTCAATATCCTTAATCTCAAGCCCTGTCTCATCTATCTCTTCTCCGTCGTCATCGTCATCGTCATTGTCTTTTTTATCGTCAGACTCAGCCACTTTGCCCTTACCACTGTCATGAGAGTGATCGTGACCGGAGTGGTCGTGACCAGAGTGTTCATGTCCCTCATTGGCTGCTAGCTGTTGTGCTGCGGACGCTTGAGCCTGAGAGTTGAGGTCCTCAATCTTAGCCTCTCCAAATACTCTTGGTATTGTCAGTTCTTGACGTGCAACCGGGAATGCAAGATAAGGAATCTTACATATAAGTGTTGCTGGAGGGCGACTTGTAGACCTCGGGTTGGTTGATAACGAATAGGATCTGATAGATTCAAGTTAGTGACTGGATGAATGTAGATCATTGCGTGGGCCGGAGTTAAACATAGCCCTCTTTCGTGAATTCTGATTGACGGGCTATTTACTAGAATTTAAATGGGCTGGGTACGTACGTTCTTTGGTCTTCTGAGAGTAACACGAGTTATCCCCGGAACTTTAATCAGTCCTAGTTTTGCGATTGATTTTCTAGCCTTTTTCTCGTTTCGTGAATGGACTACCATGCTTCCACTGGAAACCCCACCCTCACCGGCCTCGGGCTCTGAGTCAGAGCTTTCTGTTGCCTCATCTTCTGCCGTAACTTTCTTGGGCGGCTCTTCGTCCGTAATTTCTTGGATGCGTGCGCTTGCCATTTTGAGTGATAGATTGAGTCTATTGAAAAATTTAGAAAACTTTCGACTTTGGTAATTAGTGTTTCCCTGAGGATAAAGATCAAATGTTATTTAACAGTAATTGATATGGGTAATATTCTTCACATTCAAATTGTGAAATTCAGAGGATGCTAATACTGACCTGTGAGACAATGTTTAACAGAAAGTTACTGGGAGTACAGTAGCTTTAGTGGGCTGGGTTTTTAAAAAGTTATAAGTGATCTCGCTAACGTTTAGTGAGATTTTGCGTAGTCTTGAATAATAATGGAGCTGAATGGAAAATGACGGGGCTCACCAAACATTCGCAGCTAAGAAATTATTTTTAAACGTCTTATCGTTGCTGAAATGACCAAATCAAGCATTATTTACAGTTCTTCTATTTATGAGTCTGATAATTACGTTTTTACAAAAAGTTCTGTTCTTGAACGGTTTGTATGGAATTTTATCTTCATCCAATGCCATTGCTTGGGAATTCAAAAAGGATCAGAGCTCTCGTGGACGACTGAGATTTAGTTTGTCAAAGCTATTAATTGCACTAGACCTTACATCTATCATGTCGTGCCTGCCCTGATCTTTGCGAACGACTTTCGAACCTCAAACCGAGCTTGCTTTCTCAGCCGCATAACCTTAAATCTCTCAAAGTCCGTCAAAGCACGTCTCCTCTCCCTCTGAGTTCTCTTTTTTGCCCATGCACTCTCCTTCCATTGAGCATCAATCCCAGCCTTTTCCCATGCAGCCTTAATGATACCTGATCGCGAGCCACGTGGTAAACTTTGGAGGACTAATGGTGTGAGAACAAGATATGATAGAGATACAGCTTGGCGAGGGACTGAGATGTTCGGATCCGACGATGGGCCATCTATAAGAACCTGTATAGTGTCAGTCATCAACGTTTCAGGTGCATATTATCAAAATTTCGGTGCACGTACACGCTTGTGATCAATAATTTCTACGATTGTTGCAAGCCTGCCTTCAGAAGGCCCTCTGCTAATTAGGACAACGCGACCGACTTCAACCAGTCTCCATGACGATGCCTTGATTTGTGCGTCGCCCATTTTTCTTTCTTCTATCTGAGTTAGTCAAATGGAAAGCCTGTCAGATAATCCAATGTTTGCGTACTATGGGTTTTATCGAGGTGGTCGTATTAATTGTTAGGTTGTAGTTTTGGAAATGTCATTTGTGGAAAGATATTCGCTAATGTGTACGTGAGCCCTTGCTTACCTATCCTCTTAGCGTAGACTAAAGTATACTAGCGTGATTAGATGAGCTAAGCTTAATTTCAGAAATTATATTTAGCCGTGGACTTCACACCCCACAACCTTCTTTTCTATGCAAGATCCAATATTTTCTCTTCTGAAGAACTCTTAAAATCTATACCACGCTTTCTCAAAATACTCTAGGTACGTCAATGGTTAGCACGCTGCTACATTTCCTTTTGATGATATAATTTGCGATCGACTTCCCGCAGTGGCACCCACGCCTGGGCTGCTATACTGCGTGAGAGGATGAAAAATATTCTTACATATCCTGAATAAGAAAAAGATTATTGTGACATGTTGTGAAGAGATCTCAAAGCTAACATTATAGACCTCAACAACTCTACATCAACTGTAGCGACAGGAAGAGAGACTGCCATGCTGCATTATTCATCTAAATGAGTATACATAAAGTATGTAGCCAAAACTCCTAGAAAGTATGTATGCAAAAATCAGGCAATGATGAAGAAATAAGCACTGAAAATAGTGAGCTTTCAAGCAATGAACGTTTCAACCAAGATCTCTGAGCCTATTCCCACAGATACTATTATATAACAATTAAGAGCTCAAAAACTAACACGCATTAACTCAGTTGAAACATGCAAGTTGAATACATTAATTCCAAGTACGCCTTTACTGAGGTAACACATCAAAATGAATCGAGCTTCCATTCGCAGATCAAATAGTACGAAAAAATAAAGAAAAAAAGAGGCCACAACAACAGTGCTGCTAACATCAGGTACTCTCAAGGACATCGGTTCAGACTTGTAGGTAAGCGAATGATTGAAATAATTTATTTACGTTTATGAAAAAATATATCTATAGAGTGAGTGTTTATTGTACTATTTGAGCCTATGAATATACAGCTAGTTATATAAGGAGTCCAGTCGTAAGATGAGTTCCACTGTAACTATACTGACTATACCCTGTATTAAAGTAGAATAAAGATTTTTCCTCTCTCCGGCCCTGTGACAAGCAAGGATAGATATGCACCCCGAAACACACGTAATTTACAGGATAATAAAGTTGGGATCATCCCTTTTACAATATATTACGACTCACCAGGAACGTTTCTAATCGGAAAGTTTGATAAATGCTGGTATAAATTATTATGTGTGTTTGTTTTGTTTATTATACTACTTGGATCTTAGACTATCTAGCACATTGGGCTCCTCTCTAACCCAGTCCACACCCTGTACAGTTCTCCTATCCTCTTTTGTTACTTGAAAGATCATCGATATATTCCCCTTGATGAATAGCTATTCAGCTCAGTGTTTACCCGTGAAATCCGGCCACCTTTCCCACGGAACCTTCTATCCAAAGGAGAGAAAAAAAAGGTAGCAATGAAAACTGCGTGCGCGGGAAAAAATTTCAAAAAACCTCCAGCCCCAGCCAGGCGAAGCCTCGACACCGGGACCACATGAGGTGTGCATACTCGTCTATATCTCCCTTCTTTGTAACAGTCGAGGTCGACTTGATCCAATCCAACATCTCCGTATCGGGTGCTGGGTACGCTCCGGAAACTCATCGGATGGCATCTCCTCCATGATCAAGGGTGGGTGATGAGTAGGGCTCAGACCCTACCATCTGATCTGATCGTGGTTAGCTTCATGATAATGGTGATAGGGGAATATGTTGAGAGATGAAGACGATACAGACGGTGAAAGCGATTGGGAATCCTCGTCGAAGTGAAGACTTTTTTACTCAATCTCGGCTCTGCAGACTCTACAATGAAAACTGGAGGTTCGTAGGGGACACTACTGATAGGTGTTGAGAATCGTCCCCCTGTTTGAACGTAAATAACCTACAAAAAAGCGTTTATCAATATAAACTTATCATGAATAATCCTCCGTTTCTCAAAGTACTTAAATTTTGAATACACTTTGATCTTCTCATATCTAGCTGTAGACTGTTTCAAGTGCATTATTGTCCTTTGAATTGGGGAAATAATGACCACTCAGTCATTGACGCTATGGAGCGCACTGCTAAAAGATGGTACCAAACTGAAATTAAGTGCAGAATTTGTAGTCACGTGTGTGCAAACAACGTTCCCTACTCGCTAGCCCCATTTATTCAAGATTCTAAAACATTGCCGATGCTGCGTGTTCACAAGAATGAACCATAGTCTTCCAAGAAAATTACTCAGACACCCCTTTTGATCTCGACGTCCCCCAAAGCTCCCTTTGAAATCAAAATCTTTTTTACGATGATGTTTCCGAAAGGTAACCCCCGGCCCCATTCAACGGTCTCTCATCGAAGATGCTCAATTAGCAGCCTCGAGAGCTCGTGAAACAGAAACTTGGTTTGGCTCATTAGACCGACTTCTCGACGAAAATTGTTCTTTTCTTGCCTGCGCTATTTTACCAGAGCCTCAAGCCCATGACCTCCGCAATTGCACCTCAGAACTAGCAACTATTTCTGCTAAGCACTTCAACGCATACATGCACGGTGCCTCAGCTATCGAGATATTTAGCCCTATGAAGATAGCGAAAGTAAACGTCTCCCAAACTTACGCGGGTGCCATCAAACGAGGGTCACAGAAGACCCCTCCCTCCACAAAGAGGCTAAATGCTCACATACGAACTGAAAACGCTAAACTAGACAATAGATTGTTCGTTCGCCTCCCATCCAACAGTTCTCTGCGTAACACATCGGGCTATACAATACAGACGCACTTAAAGTCTAAGCTTGGCAGCCAAAGTAAACTTCTATCAAATGTTGTACCAACAAAGACAGGATTTGCTCTCCGCCCGAGCGCCGGTAATGCCAATGCCTTAAACGAGAGACTGAAAACAGTTGATCTGTGTGGGACTGCTCCCATTGAGAAAGCCTCGCCCTGGACGTCCTATAGGATTAAGAATGTCCTTCGATTCTATGGGAAAATAAACCAAAATATGCAATACTACCTCGAACCAGTCACGACCGAAGCCGTAAAAGCTGCTGTAGCAACAGCAGCTAGCGTTACCCCTGTCTCCGTACTCCCGTCCCAGGATAATGAGATAAACCCAGACAGCCCAGTCATAACCTGGATTGTTCGCTTTCCTCAAGAGCACAGCCGTCTTCCGCGTATTCCTTATTTCTTTGGGTGACGGCGCGGCACCCAAATCCTTCCTAAACGCTCGTCAGTAGTATAGTGTAGGACGTGCTGGCTTTGGCACAACAGTCGCGCCTGTTCCTCTGCCCCAAGATGCTGCCTTTGTGAGTCCACCCAACACACAGAGAAGGACCACAATAACCTCTGCGCCGCACCGGCTGGACATACCTGCCCTCCACGATGTGTGAACTATGACGGCCCTCATTCAGCAGAGGATTCAACTTGTGAGCTGCGGCCACAATCCTCTAATCTTCCAAAGACAAAATCACAGGTTGTCGCCATCCGGAATATCTTCTCTGAGGCACGCATCCGCCGCCAAGCAGAAGCTGGATGCTTTAAGCATTCTGCCGCTCCGCAGAGCTCCAGCACCTCTCACACAGCACGGCGCACTAGCTATCCTGCAGTTTCCCAAGTAGCAGGACCATCAACACGATCTGCAGCCGCATCCAAGCGGACTATTTTCTTAAACCCTTTTGAGATCTTGAAGACATCGGCCGGGGCGTCAGATGAGCAGATGGAACTATGATAAGATGTAAATCAACGTGGCAATCTTTCAACTTGCTTTGTACCAACTCATTACGTACTAACTTGCCCTCACATTCGAGGGTATTGCGCTTACACCAAAGGGGTTTATTTTTGATTTTTTCTTTTTTTCCCTAATATATCACTCACCATAATTGTATCTAACTCATAAGATACTCTATTATTTTGTAGATCAGGTCTCATGTCCCTAGGTTAGGGAGTCGTGGGCCTCCGACAACTGAGGCAGTAAGCTTTGGCGTCCTTTTTCCATTTGGACTTTAGATAAGACAGGCCTAGGCCCGATTTTAGATAGACGTCAAATAGAAAACAAAACAAAAACTAACACTTTGTCAGTTTATGAACATACAAGGCATGAAGGTTCTCTCTCACTATAGGTCAAGGAAAGATATCTAGTGGTATACCCCCTCCTATGCCACCCACACAGCTCTTCTCAAACCGTAACGCCCTTCCCAAGTTCTCATTCGATCATACATTATAGGAGCCCCTTACTCTTCATTATCGCCCCTCTCCAGCCAACGAAACGATGGCCATATGCTGGTGTATGGCAGCCGGGAAAAATCGCAAAAACCGCTGGGCGCGGGGCTCTCCTATTACCGACATTAGGACTAAATCCGAAGACATAGTGACCCTTCTGAAACGTTCGAAGAGGCCAGCCAGCTGAGGGTTACAGACTTGTGGGTACCTCGGAGAAATCACACTTTACCTCCATAGCCTCTCTCTATCTCTTTCCCGAAGGTCGTGCTGAAATGTCAGAAAAGTCTTTATAAAATGTGATTATTGTATGATAGCTTTGCCTATTTTTTTTATGCCGTCCAAGGCCCTGGGGAGTACCCTTGACTCATCGATAAAGGAAGCCTTCCTATCTAATTATCCGAAATCGCGGTCTTGGCGTCTACAAACGTTCCAAAGTTTGAAACCACTCGAAAATATGAGACCTAGCATGGTCTTCAGAGAACTCTTTCCCCTCTCGCTCCACATCTCAGCAGCCTGTCCTTCCTCAAGATGTATAACCCCATAAGAGCATCAGTCCCCCATAAACCAAAACCCCAACTTTGTATTTTTCGACTTGATTTCCTCCTTGCGGGTATAATTAGCGTCGTAAATTTGAAGTGAGTGATGGCCGGTGATGAATGAGGCAAGCTCCTGTTTGCGATTGGGGTGACGCCTTTATCGATCGGCGAGGCGAGATGATATGTGTTTAGATCGGGGTTGAGGACTCAGAAGATAATGGTGAGTGCTGCATGGTTGAGAAGTCGTCAAATGGAGATATGCATGTGTTTGCTTTCGACTTCGATTCGGATGCGATTCTTCTTGGCTATCCTAGATATGCAGAGCATACTGAGCGATTACACTGGCACCACTGGAAGGTGAAGAATTCGTCTTTGCCAGCGACCTCCGTGAATACTACAACCTTCGAGCGCTGGACGATAAGATCCTAGCCATTGTTTGCTTTATTGGGTCTATGTAGGCGCCAAACGCCGGGTAGTTTAATCTGGACCGGGCTAACCGGCACGTGAAAAGCTCACGTGCAGTGCGCGGGCACCACGTTAGATATTATAAATAAATAAATAAATAAATAAATAAATAAATAAATAAATAAATAAATAAATAATGAAAGCTCCCTATAAATGTATGATGTCTCTTTCGGCAATTTGGACGCTATTTCTGTCTATTTGTAATTAATAGTGTGAGGTATGCTTTCTTCCACAAACATTCAAGTCTTCTCCGTAAGCACCCACCAAAGGGAAATTCAAACCTTTTGTTTATCCAAGCATACTTTCGTCATCAATGCACACTAGTGCCCATTATACATGATTATTGATGTATGTGAATGTTACACTACTCTTTAGGCTTCCGTGGCAGTAATACTTTCAATTTCTTTTGCATCTTTTCGATTCCTTACGAACCTGTCTGGACAGTCAGTCAAAATTTGTTGACGGACAACCTTCTAGTTGTCTAGTCTACAGATGAGAGAGATCTAGAGGGTTGATAACGAAAATTTGAGAAACAAGCTCAGCCAGACTTGCTCGCGCCACTAACCAGAATTAGAATTAGCCGACCTTCCCTTTGGCTGCGCAGATCTGTGTATCGAACTTAAATTGCACTGTTCAGTAAAGATAATTTTTAGTGCACTCTCCCGCTAGATTCCAACGTTTGAACCAAGCGTCAGTAAAGTGGAAGTCTAGGTCTGTAGCTTGTGATAAAGAATGATCAGTGAAGGGTGAGCGCAAGTCCTAATTGTGATATGAAAAGTTACTCACTTCTATGCAGTTGGCTTTATTATAGTAAATGGGTTGCAGCAATATGTACATTGATATCGACATGGCTTTTCTATTCACTCAGCAGGAAAAGCGAAAATGTAGCAAGATATGACGTGGGAGTCCCGAGTTTGCCAGCCGACAAAGTGATCGCAGAGAACTCCTTCAAAAAGGTATTCCGACTTGTGCAAGACTTTATTTAATACAGCAGTTAATGATAGTTCAGGAAGAGTGTTCTACTGAAATTCCATGTTATGCCCCTGCTACAGGAGCTTTTCTAGGGCTTATCAGGCCGCAAACTAATGAGGACATAGACCTTGCCATATTAGAGTCTCAAAAAGCTCAGAACTCTTGGGCCCAAACAACTTTCAAGCAAAGGAAACAGGTCTTACAGTCCATCGAAACCTATGTCTTAGAACATCAGGAAGAGATCAGCCGGATTGCATGCCTAGACTCTGGAAAGACAATGATTGATGCCACGCTCGGAGAAATACTTGTAACTGTGGAGAAATTAAGGTGGACACATCTACATGGCGAGAAGGCTCTGCGCCCGTCGAAGCGACCTACCAACCTACTTATGGCCTACAAAAATAACTACGTTATCTACGAACCTCTTGGAGTAGTGGCGGCTTTAATTTCGTGGAACTATCCCTTCCACAACTTGATTGGGCCGATAATTTCAGCTATATTCGCCGGAAATGGTATTATCGTCAAAGCATCGGAACACACGGCATGGAGTGCAGCATATTTTACGCAAATCGTCAAGGGAGCACTTCAAGTGTGTGGTCACTGTCCGAACCTGGTACAGACAGTCGTTACTTGGCCACATACTGCAAATTATCTCACATCACATCCAGGCATAAGCCATGTCACATTTATCGGAAGTCGCCCAGTTGCTAAGCTGGTAGCAGCTTCAGCTGCAAAATCACTTACTCCCATAATAGCCGAACTTGGAGGAAAAGATGCAGCCATTATTCTTGACTCAGCTAAAACTGATTTGCCTCGGATTATTGAAATCATTCTCCGTGGCACATTTCAAGCAGCCGGTCAAAATTGCATTGGCATTGAAAGATGCATCGCTTGTCCGAATGTGTACAATGAGCTAACTTCAGCCCTTGAGGTACGCATCAAGGCTATCCGTGTCGGCTCTACACTGGACGCCTCAAAAAATTACCAGGTTGACATGGGTGCCATGATATCTGATGTTTCCTTTGAGCGGTTAGAAAAGCTTATTGAAGCGGCCGTCAATGATGGTGCTCGTTTATTGGTTGGCGGGCATCGCTTTCGCCACCCGCTACACACTAACGGGAAATATTTTGAGCCTACCCTTATCGTTGATGTCACCCCCAATATGGCTATTTCCAATGAAGAATGTTTCGGTCCTATTTGTGTTGTTATGCGCGCCAGAGACGTAGAAGAAGCCTGCAACTACGCTAACCAACCCAGTTTCGGTCTCGGAGCATCTGTATTCGGCGCTGAAGGTGTTGAAGTAGATACGGTAGTCCGCAAGATTAAGAGTGGTATGGTCGCTGTTAATGATTTTGCGGCGTACTACGCTGTACAATTACCTTTCGGAGGTGTGGCAAAGAGTGGATATGGTCGATTCGCCGGTAAAGAAGGATTAAGAGGCTTATGCAACCTTAAGGCTGTGTGTCGGGACCGGTGGGGCTGGCTTGGAATTCGCACCAGTATTCCAAATTCGATCCGATATCCTGTCTATGACACAGACAAGGGATATAAGTTTATAAAAGCAGTTGTAATGATGGGATATGGAGTTAACCTAGGAGAAAAATTTAGTGCACTCTGGGAGCTGTGGAAAAATTGTTGAAATTAAAAGTTATCACAAATTTTTCTGAGAATTTGTTTATACATTCTCACTTACAAAAATTTCTCGAACTCCACCTTAGAGTCGCTCCAGAAATGAATCAAAAGCCTCTTACAAGACAAATTCTGTTGCTGAATTTAGTAACCCAGATCATGTACTATATTTCACATCAATTATCTGATCCCTGATGGAAGGATTTGCTTTCCAGATACGGAATCATGAGTGGGTATGAGACCTAAAAATTGGAGAATAAATAAACCCTCTACTATCTGTCTCAAGTTTCCGCAATTTTACATCAATACCAAGATCGTGTTATTTTCTAAGGATTTTGTGCAAGTTTATCTTTTGCATTTTTCTGTGGGAGAACGTAAAAATACATCACTTGTATCAGACGTATCACAGCGACTTAATTACATTAATCCTAAATCTTGTGTCTATTGGTAATTATTAAATAGTGAAGATATGAATCCTAGACTCACTGCCAACTAAGACAACCTGGCCTTTGCTCCTGTCGAAGACGTCTAATTTTAACTTAGCTTCAATATTTTTCACAGGAAACTCTGCCTTATCTCAATTAAGAATTCGATCGATATGAGACGATTAATTGCTGGCACTAGCCCATGCTCTATTCCAAATTCACGAGAATTTAAGAAAACCAATACAATTCTGGAGAATAGCCGTACAACTACGCCGATATAGCTCTAAAAACACAGCGATTATTATATCTAATCCTCTACTCGTATTACCTCTTCCACAAATAATCCATAAAGGAAAATTATAAATATCATGCTATAGGCCCAGATAATATCTGAGAACGATGTTCATAATATTAAGCAGTCTTGCAAATTGTATAAAAGACTCCATCTTCTCATTTATAACATTGAAAGACATCAAATTATTTGCAAAATCTTCCCTTATAAAATGATTGCTAGTGGATGAAGATATACACTAAGTTTTGATCTAATTCTTCAAATATTGATTCGTTACAAGCTTGACAGCCTTTTTTCTAAAACGGGATTTTAAAGAACGATAAAACTGAGGCTCTTCAGTATTCATCGATAGTGCTTTATGGTAGCCAGGACTTATTATAAAAAAAGCAGACTATCGCATTTTCCAGTTTCTAATTCTATTACTCTAATTAGAATCAATTCAAAATGAAAGAAATACATGCCAATATTAACCAAATAATTTGGTCGATGGATCTTCCGCTTAATATTCTACAGAATTCTATCCAGGGCTCGACCTTTAGCTAGATTTGTATCAAAAAATCAGAGAGCGACATGATTTTTAACTATTTTTTATCTCTCATTTGCGCTTCTAGAAATAGATGATGATACTTTAAACTCGTTCGTACTAACCCTAGTGAGATTAATGTAGCATGAGCATCTGGCTCCACTTCCGATATTGACTGTACTATCATTTAATGCCGGATTCAAAAGTTCAATATGTGAGTCTAACTCGAAAATTAAGCTGGGGAGTCGAAAAATTTGAAATAAATTTTTAAACATAAGCTCTATTGTGCTGGTATAGCTGCATTCATAAAGCTATGCATATCAGGAAAAATGTGAAATTTTAAAGGTTCTAGGAATTTCTTACTACATTGTAAACTTATTTATCTCCTTTACAGCTACAGCTTTTACATTCTATTACTGCTGAGTTATATTATTTTTGACTACGAAAGGAAACATTGCGATCAAGATACTTAACTCTCACTGTCAACATGCGGCTTACGTCACTCGGGAAAGGGTTAACTGTGAGATTGACAGGCCTCCGCTGCGTTACCATATGGTCCGTCGATCATTCATCATTATCCTAACACTCATTTTGATTTTCCCTCAGTTAATATACATATTCCCTCAGACTTATCTAGGATCTAGTACTTTAAAGCTCTCGAGTATTGGGAAGGTAGCCTATATGGCTCTCATGTAAGCTAGACGAGAACCCAGCAGTCGTAAGACAAACCTTGCATGCATCTTCTGATACGCCCACGCTCATTGCTGAGACTATATATCCCAAAGTTTCTTGTTCGCACTCTAAATCTGGTGTCGATGCCTTTATTTTCGCCTTACTTATAAAAAGCGGGAATTGTACCCGACTTTATGGTTAAAAAAATTGGAGAGGTCATTTATCTTTCGTCTTTTCCAAAAGTGGTTAACCGTGCTTGTAACTAAAGGTGCCAGTCAAACGCTTATATTTACGAATAGTCTCAAAATCACAACTAATTATGGTAAAACCATGTTCCGGGTTCCAACCTTGCGTCAACATTTGCAATATTAGTCACGCCTAACTCTAGCTCTCCTAACACATTGAAAACTGGCAGGCGTAGAAGACGGGGATATGATCGGACATATCGAACCAGCAAGCCGTGTCGTCAAGGAGAGATGGTGATATGTGTAAGAGAACGGCTGGCGTGAGCGATAAGAAAAATGCGGTAACCGTTCATTAGCCCGTTTATTTATGGCTGATCGAATATGAAGAAGGGAGGCATTTAAATCGCAATATTCTGAGCTTTATTTGGTGCTATATTAATGCTCTGGGAACTAGTCATAATTATTTCAGAAAGAAGGTGGCTCAAGATGTAAGAGTTGTCAGTATTCAATAATCAGAGAATAGTTTACCACTTCTCGCCACATGATTCTGGTAGTGCTAAAGAGGTAGGGGACTATACATGTCCAACATTGTTTTGGGCTGATTAATGCCGAAATCTAGAGGAGTGAAGGCTCAAAATAAGATTCCATCCGAAATCAGCCTCAGCCGCAGGCGAGTGGTCTTACCTTGAAGTTCCACGACGGAATGGTTTCACAGCAAGGTTCCACTGCGGGAGCACCCTTGCTTGAGGGCTAGGAGACTTTGCATCCCCCACCCCTCTCCAAGAAGTCCCAACCCACCAGAGAATACTACGTGTTCCAGAGAGCGAAGGTACCATTTATCAATTATAGCTTTCTTCTGACGTGCGGCCTGTCACATCCCAGACACCTGGATCCCGTTGTTTAAGACTAGCGGAATGGCAACGCTGTGCAGAGACTATGGTAACCAGTTTACTATGAATCATTACCGTCGTAATTTTTTCCTTTCTTCAAACCCTCTAACCTTGCTTGTATCCTGGCACTCCATTCCAAATCTGGCAGTATCCTTTACTTTCCGTCTTTTCTCATGCCCACCTTCCTGTTTGATCAGTTATCAATCCATATTCACATTCCCATATGCTCAATTTCTCAGTTACAGGATCTCTTCCAATCCTCTACCTCTCTCTCCTCATTCCTTTTCTGATTTTCACCCCCCCAACCCCGTATTTTTCCCCTTCTCTCTATCTTCCATTCATTATCTCTTCTACTAATCTCGAGCTTTTGATTTTTTATCCCATCTCATTAACCTCCCCTCTTTTCAGGCCCAATGAGTTTCCAAAATTCCCTGAAACGTCAGAATTCTCACCACCGCCCAGGTGATCAACGCTTGTCAAGACAGCAGTTCCCGTGGGGTTGACCTCGGAAGCCCGTCTCACTATTGCACGAGTTTCCTCTGTTCCCCCAGCCTTTTCCCCCTGTACCTTTCGGTGCATGCTCATGGAGACTGCCACCTCAAGCTTGATAGCTACAAGATTCTCTACCTTATACCTTCCACACTTTCAGTTCCCACACCTGGATAATCCTTCCCAGATGCACAAGTATCCATCATACGCACCTGCAACAGCTGGAATAACGAATATCTCAACATCTCCCTCGCAAAGTAGTGATTTCAGCCCCACACTCTCAAGTCCTAGCTCTACAGCGGGCTTGATCAACCCATTATCCTACTGGACCATAACGCCACAAACCTCAATAACTCGCCACCAAACTGGTTCATCAATGTCGCCAACGTATATTTCAGGGCATAATGAGATGGATCGTCTCTCTGAAAGCTCATCTGGAAGTGGCATTATAGCGTCATCACAATATAATTTCCCTTTTTATTCAAATAACTTATCCATATCAGGGCCTAGGGGAACCAACCATCCGCAGAATCAAAGTCTTCAGCATATACATCAGAATCAACAGCAATATCCGGAGCATGCACGCCTACCTTTTCCTCGTGCGCCACTACAGGGGATGCGGCATACATCCGACAGCTATGGAGACCGTTTACCCCTTTCACAGATCCACTCCCGCTCAGCCCTTGCTTTACAACCAAGCAACTACTCATCTTATACTTCACCGCAGAATACGCCATTAGGTTCGGCCACAGCGCCACGACTCTCCACTACGAGTTCTCAGAATAAATATAGTAATGAGACTATATCAACACAGCACTTCTATTCCCAGCCATATAATAATCACATTATATCTACCATACCTATAAATATGATGTCCTCTGAGCAATCATCAGAAGAGCAAATCCCCTTAGTTAGTAACATACATATAGCGCCATGTGCGTACCAACTGAGTGATTCTTCATATGCTATGACTCAGCAGAATACCCAGAGCGATCGGCCGTTCAAGTGTGATCAATGTGCACAATCATTTAATCGGAATCACGACTTGAAGCGCCACAAGCGTATTCATTTGGCTGTCAAACCTTTTCCATGTATGAAGTGCGACAAAAGTTTTTCCCGAAAAGATGCGTTGAAGGTCAGTAGTTCTGTATTATTTCGGCTATGGTGTCAAAGCGCTTTTTTGAAGTTTGCGCTAATCTTGGCGACAATAGAGACATATCCTTGTCAAAAGTTGTGGTGGCGCCAATAAGAAGACAAAAACCTTGAGCAGGAGCTCACTATCTTCCCCAAAAAACATAATAAACTCGTCATTTTCGGATGACTGCACTGAAATGAACAAGAAATGGTGATCATATTAAGCTCAACATTCATGTCATATTGGCTCCAATTGTAATCTTTGATGGGCGCAAGTAAGAATCGAGCCTCTTACTGTGTCGTATGATTCCAATCGGTTAGTTTCTACAACTAGAAAGGCTAAAGAGTGACTTTACACATGAAGTTTAGTGTATTTGGATAGTGAGCTCTCAGTTATCTAGGGAATTTATGAAACTAGTTGAGGAAATTTTCTATGCCTAGAGTGCTATTATTTGCGAATCCTATTAAAATTGTGTTATTTGCCCTTATCAGAAAGACAACTTGCTTCCATAAGCGGGTTAGGTCACATGAAAAAGAAATGAGTATATATTTAGAGGCTGCTTTACGACCTCAAATTAAAATATTGCGTAGATCACACATGGTCAAATGTGGCCTTTTTTATTGAGAGTTAATTGGAAAATATTCTTTTAAAAAGTTGTAAGGAAGTATAATTATATTAAGCTAAATAAGTGTTTTTGTAAACTTTTAGACATTCTTACCTATTATCAAGGAATAGCTTAATCTATTTATGGATGAGCTATTTAATTATCGTTTTGAAAATTTCAAGGGCACTTCTAGGCTAATGATATAAAAGTGACTATGCTATTTAACCGGCACTTTTGAGAGTATCTAGGATAGGTAGGAGATAATCGTGCTATTCCAAGGCTTCCACAATTCTTCTGGAGAAAATTTTTATCCGTTGGGAAGCAGACGTTGCGCTATCTGATGGTTTTTAAATTGAGATAACTATTATTAAGATTTCGGTAGATTTAAGTGGTTGACAGGTGAGAAATATGCTCATCATCTTCTAGGAAAGATGATTTTAGCTAGCCCAGTCATGGAAATTTTGTATTATGAGACTTGTCCCAAGTAGCAGGCATAGGTTTAAAAATGGGAGAGGTAAAAGAAGGTTTGGAGCAGATATGGCCTGTAGCTCAATGCTACGCCGATGTCCTACCTCACAGGTTCAGAAGTTGATCAGAGCAAAAGATGGCAGGTCTATGTTACACATTCAGTTCGCCAGCAATTGCCTAATTCGTGAATTACTCAAGCTATGAGATGAGGCTTATTCTCTCCCAATTGCTTCACCTTCGACCAACTCTCATTGACACGTGAGCTAGGTGGGAGAACTAGCCTACTAGGATTCCAATGACAGATAAGATGAGGTAAGTCATGAACGTGAGACAAGCAAGCCTTGTCTTACTGGTTTTCTGTAGGATGTGACAGAAATCATCATGCCTACCGGCAGCGCCATGTAAGATAATGTTCAATCTTAAAAGGATTATGCTCAATTTTGGCTTGCACAATTATGCAGCAAATCTGATTGGGTAGCGTCGTCCCTCCAAGCTAGAGATTTGGTCAGATGGCGCATTGGTATAGCTCCTAGATCCTCTGCAAAAGTCGACGTTTGATAGCTAAGGCATCCATGCTTGGGGCAGCTTTCATTTAAAAAATGATCCGGACATTTTGAAGCAAATAAATATTCTCGACTTCACCAAGTAGATGTTATTGAATAGGAGTTCGATATCTTTTCCAATGGAGAAAGCTTTAGGCTGATTTACGCGAATGAAGTAAGAATAATTAGCGTCCCCCATACTGACGGAGTTATTTCAAATTCACATATGATAATCTTTGTGTAACAGAGAGACAGTGAAATACATCATATATCATTCAAACAAGGCTGAATCCCTTTTATGCGTCACATCGAGCTGTGATATATACAGCACATATCTAGGGGAATAGCACAACTGCTAAGCAATAAGAGAGTATATCTGCCCAGAGGATTTATCTCGAACCCAGCTAATAAAAGCGAGTTCCAGACAATACCCAGAGCCATAATTGTTTTTAGAATTGAAAGAGAATTGCTGCCTCCGCCAGCCTTTTAAGTGATACATTCCCATTCAGCAATCTTCTGTTCTATCTACTCTCATCGTTTCAGAGACCCAGAGTCTATCAAATTCTTCACTGCGTACCTTGCTATCTTCAATGAACACTTGTACCTAGTTACATGAAAATATCTTCTGTAACGTTCGGGTAGTTTTTCCTACATTTCCTATCCGTGTATCCTGACTCCAAGCCTTTCTTCTTCGAGGATGTCCTTCATTTAGTCTTTCAGGCCCATGACGTATCGTTTGGTTTGACGGACTGTAGGATTAATGTTTAAGAAATGGTTTGTGGATGTGAGGTGAGTGCTGGTAGGGAGGGTTGCGAGCCATGATCTACCCATCTTGGTTTCCAAATGAGAAATAGTACGTGGTACTTTTACGTATCAAAGAAGTGATATAGTAACGGATCAAGTTTGAGACTATCTTGGTTTGTGGTTCAATGCCTTCTTCTTGATTTGTGTGTTGCTGAAATATCTGCAGTCGGGGATTTCGAGGAAAATTGACAAACACAAGTCCTTCCGTTCGACACATCAGTAAGGAAAAATTTAATCTCGACTCTGAGAGAATATTATAGCCTCGGGCTCGTGAAGAATATGGTATCCAGGTAAACCGTCTCCTCAAATCCTCGCAACAACGATACTGTACCCAATCTTTGTATTCTCGTGCCGTGCCATCATGCTGAGATCTACTTTGTCCCTTACCAAACACCACGAGATGTAGTGGGCCGCCGGGTGTACGAATAAGCTAGTGAGACTAGGCAAGATTGCCTCCAACACAAGAACCATCACGAAATCGACAGCCCTATCAGCAGTAGCGAATTATTGGCCTCTTCAGTCATGAGGTGTGAGCAGGCTATTTTGGGAGTGCAACGGTGTACCGTTGACGACTCTGTTGAATTCAGGGCGGGAGGAGCAGACCTGCTCTCGTCTCTTGTGAGACGCAGCTCCGGTTACTTCTGTACGGCCAGAGAGACTAACCTTGATCTTCCTCCAACGCTAGAAATTGTGTCGCCATGAACCGCCATTAAATTCCTGGAGATTCGTGGTCCCTAACTATTGTTCGTTCCCTGGCTAGTGGATACTGGGCCTTTTGTCGTGGACACAAAACCCGCTCGTCCTGCTCGACTGCCTTGATTATATGGCACCATGGCGCGCGTGTCTTCTTCTCACGATTGCTGGTCCCTCGTGTGTTGCCCTCCCTGGCCTCGCAACCGACGGGCACACAGGCATGTTCCAAAGATTCCAAATCCCACAGCTCCAAGCGGAATAGTGCGCGTAATGAACTGACCAATCAGGCTGAGCGTATCACGGCTATGCCCAACCAGTCACGTGTTATCATAGGGACGTGGAGAACAGCTCATAATGCAGACCCCCGTAACTTCGTCATAACTATCCCAGGTGTTGGGAACTACTCTCGCTTGCTGAATGTCGTTACTTGCCTTTTTAGCTGCGAGTGCATCTTAAGTCGTACAAGCTACTCAGGTCGAAAATCACTACTATTACTATTGCTGGTGCAGCTCGGAGGACGAAGGCTGAACACCTGTGAGTGGTGTCCTCTACGGACTTGGGGGTGAAATATTCTCCCAGAGCCGAGATTCAGTCACGACAAAGGGTGAATTTGGGAGTTTTCGTCGAGTTGGCGATCGGGAGGTGTGGTGTGGGCTCATTTTTGGTCGAAAATCCGACTTGCAGAAATTTCACGACTGCACAACTCAACGAAATCAACCATGTACACTCCAAATACTTACCGCAGATAGGCTATAACCTGTCTGATGTTCGTATTACAACAACCCACACCTTCAACATCTTATTTTCTATTTACCTGGAAAATCATTCCTAGCCAAACTCATCTCGCGACCCTCTCAAGAATCATCTTACCACCTACCTAAGCAATCCCATACCTCCAAAAGCCAAATCTCCAACAAAGAAGCAAGAGGATGTCCGACCCTCTGCAACTGCTAGCCGCTGTGAAGGTACGGTCGAAATAGCGGCCTTAAATGCGTCCTCACCTCGGCCAAGGGCACCAAAATCTCGACCTACGACGAATCGCCACCGACGAAATACGTACGACATTTCGTCGGCATACTAACTAGAGCGTTCGAAAAAGGATGGGGCACCGGTGCCTCGGTCTTGAGCTCTCAGTTGCGTTTTCGACCTCCACGGTTAGGGGTACGGCAGCGACGGGGCAAGGCCGGAGGGGTGGACATTCTACCAAGTTTCTGGGATGACGAGATCGGCTGAAGGACAGAGGGATGCTGTATGAAGGAAATAAAAGGGGATACAAACTGAGGAGGTCTTGGTGGGCGACTGGATTAGGCCTCTAGTGAAGAAAAAGACCCCTGGATGAGATGAGGAGACGCTGAGATGAGTCAAAGCTGCGAATGAATCGAAGGGAAAAGATACATACGGCGAAGGTGTCAAGGGCTTGAGCGCGTGGTGGCCGAGGCTGAGGAGGAATTTGCGCTTCGGCGCGCCAAAAGGGGGTTCTCTGGACAGTTGGGCTTGACATGATTCAACACATAGGTGAAGTCTGAGGTAGTCCTGTCATCTAGGTGGGACTAGTTAGATATACTTAATGGTAGTTAACCTGATCCAGCCCGGCCCCACCCGTGCTTAAGCTCCAGTAGGAGTGCAACGGGAATTACTATATCTAGCATGTAAATGAACAAGACAAGACAAGACTGGTGCAGCTTAAGTCTAGTCATGTGACGAAATTCCACTACAGCGTGTCCGCAAGACTAGACTTGTTCTATTATCTAGGCTATGTAGGAGCAGGACAATGGATACAATGGTAACAAAGAATGGACGGAGGTTGAGACTTTATATCTTGCTCCAGACTTACTGTGTTGTTCACAGCGTAGTTCTGGAACATTCCCTTGTGATATCATTTCTCTCCTACGAGAAATGACCATCTCGTTCTCCCTCAGTCCATTAGTCTGTCGCTGATTCAATATCTCCATTCTATCGAGCTCTAGTTTGATCCAGAATACCCACACATGCATTACAAACTAAACGCCCCACGTTTTAGGTTCACGGTCACGTGTATACAATATAACGTGACGTAAAGCATGTACCATGGTAAGTTATATGGATAACACAATAAGACCCCAC